TTTTTTCTCACACAAAAGGAGGCAGCCGGGATTCTCTTTTTCTTCTCTCAAAATCACACAATACATCATATGAAAGTGGCTAGGGTTATAGTCATATATATACTCTAGGGTTAGGCTTTAAGTTGGACCATTAAAGGGGTAAACGGGCCAAGATTCAAGCCATCCATAAGGGAATACAATTAGGCCGGGTGTAGCTCATGGATTTGGTTGTTGGACTTATTTCATTTATCGACCTATGCCTATGAAATAATATTAACTCACGTTAACATCATAGCTCGGGATTTATTGGGTATTAAAAACCCAACAACCACTGGATTTTTGTTTTTCATGGGTAACACTACTTTCACTTAGTTTTTAAAGAAGCAACCCATTGTGACCCTTTCTACTTGTAAAGCTGAATATGTTTCCGCTGCATCATGTGTTTGTCATGCCATTTGGCTACGGAAATTATTGGAGATGCTTCATATGCCTCAAAATGAAGCTACACCAATTTATGTTGATAACAAGTCAGCTATTGCTTTAGGTAAAAATCCTATGTTTCATGATCGAAGCAAGCATATAGATACAAGATTTCACTTCATTAGAAAGTGCATTGAAAACAAAGAAGTTGAGCTTGCTTATGTGAAGACCAATGATCAAGTAGCAGACATTTTCACCAAACCATTGAAGAATGATAATTTTGCAAGATTGCGTACTTGGATTGGAGTTATCAAGAGGGAATCAAGTTTAAGAAGGGGTGTTGGAATTAAACTTGATTCATGAATGATGGAAAAAATTAAATTGGATGCATGAATTAGTTTACTTAATATTCATGCATTTATTTAAATCATGTATCCAAATGGTTCTTTGTATCCTATTATTCATAGTATATAGGAAAAGTCATTAATTAGTCCCTTAAGTTCATATAATGTATTTGGGATCCTTTGTACCTATAAAAGGTCTTGTGCTTGAGACATTTTATGAGCCAAGCCATAGAATACAAATCTTTTTGAGAATTCTTTGAATTTTTCTCTCTAACCTTTCATCCCATAATTTTTTTTATCTCCAACAATTTGTGCCACCCATCTACGGAGTTCCTTTCACGCACTTTTGTGACCATTTTTGGAGAAGATTTCACCATTGACTTTGGTAGGGTGTAAACACCATTTTCACACGTACCTTTGAGTAGAACCGCCTCTGTGGTCTAATCCTTCAGAAGAAAAGAAGAAGGATGAAACTCAACAAAAAAAAAAACACGCTTTGAGTGGTAAAATGATGGATGAAGATATGTTTTTTGTCATATGTTAGGAACACAAAGGGTCATTTAAATGAAAGGTGCATGTAGGTGAGTGAAGAACCAATGAACTAGCCAAATCATCAGTGATATTGTGGGAGGCTGCGGAGTCTATAAGCCACTTTGTATCTTGGGCTGGTAAAGTTGAGGCACAGTTTGCCGTTGCTACAGTAAATTGGACTCGGAGACAATATTTAGTAGTATGGCCCAACTATTCACAAGGTTGACATTTTGGTGTGTAACGTCGCTGGCCATTGGGTTTCTTCTTCCTATTGTCTCGTGGACCGCTATTGTTTCGGTACTGGGCCGAGGAGTTATTATTCGCTGAAGTTCCATTGTTGCAATCAGAACCATTCTGCTCTGAGGAGCCCTTAGAAGAGTTATCTCCAGAGAAAGAACCAGGACCAGATAGCCAATTAGAGTAGTTGACAGAGGCGACCAGCTATTGAGAAGTAGCTTCGAGGCGGCGTAGGTACGCATCGTGGCCTACAAGGTCATGTAACTCCTCGAATGTGAGTGGGCATTCCCCATGCACAAATAGAAGATGCGATCTCTCGAAAATCAGTGCCCAGACCATTGAGGATGTAAAGCGTTAGATCATCTTCAGAGATTGGATGATCGAAGAGGAAGATTTCATCTGTGAAGGATTTGACAGTGTGTAGCTACTCTTGATCTGTCTGATTTCCCTTCTTTATCAGAGTAAGTTTCTCTTTAAGTTGCATTGCCCTAGTTCGGGACTTGCTTGCGTACATTGTGTGTAACTTTTGCCATGCCTCTTGGGAGGTTTCATGGAGATGAATGGTGTTATGATGGTGGTTGTGGATGCCAGATGGCGCTGAGGATAAGTTTATCTTATCTTATCCAAGAGTTCTTTGGTGATCGAAAGTGGAGGTATCGTTGGGTTTAAGGCGGGGCTTATCTCCAGTATCATAATCAAGGAGATTATACCCAATGAGTAGGGCTTTGAGCTAGGCACGCCATTGAGGGAAGGTGGACTTTTTTGTTTATCTGGGCAGTGATATTAGGAGCAATAAGAGGGATTTCTGTTTGGAGATGGTGGGGTTGTGATCAGGTTATAAGTATTTTTATTATTATTATTATTATTTTTTGGGTGTGGGGTGTGGGAGAGGGGGATCGAATTCTCGTTGGAGGATGTCTTCTCTGATACCATGATGATGTTTTGAAAAATATAAACACAGAAATACTTATTGCTGTCAAGGAAAAACTTTCTACACTTGTTTACAATTCATTGTATTGAAATATATATACAAGTATACAGACTCTATTCTAGGGAAGAAAGCTAAAATTAAGCCTAACAGTAACAACACATTTACAAGTGATTCTTCCAACTGTTACAGAATATTTATTTGTTCTTCAGGTCTTGTGATCTTGAGCTTGATTTGAGGAGTCTTCCCTTATATATCATAAGTGGTTTCTACTGCAGTATTGGGAGATAATTAGTGTATGAGAGAATTGATCAATGGAGTATTCCTGCAGTATATAGTCGAAGTGAATGCATATTATTCATTGGGAATGGTTTATGGGTGCTGCGAGTCCATTTATTATTGTAGGGCCATATTATGACATTCACAGTGCTGAGTCCAGCAAGAAAATTGCTGCTGCGTTACATTGTTGAGGCCAATAGGCCAAAATTTTGAGTAATTTCAGGCCCCCGGGGTTTATGGATAGGAATTCTGTTTTTTCTACTCATAATAAATTAAATAAATAAAATATCTTCATTGCAGACATTTTTTGTTACTTGTCCTTTTCTTCGTTTCCTTGAGTCAAGTTGATGGAGAATTCTCAAGTGGAGTTATTTTTAATTATCCCAGATTGGATGCTGCAATATCAATTCCCGAGATGAAATTTGTGCATGAATTAGCAATTTCCTTCCACATTTAAAAAATTCGATTTTGAAATAATTTATTGGAAAACTCATCATTAATTAATTCATTATGGTTCCTAATTAAGAACATGGTTTTTTTACACAATACTAGAACATGTAGAGGTTTCGAGTTCAAAGTTAGTGAATTTGACTTGCGTGCACGAGTAGTGTGTTGAAGAATAAATTTTAATGATTAATTAGATGTTAAAAGTTTGGACAAAGTAATTTAACCGGAATATAATATATACTTTTGGATGCAGCTAGTCGGAAAAGGCTTGCAGCAAATTAATATATACCACATTTTTTACATTACTAGTTACTTGTCCTTTCGAAGACCATAACAGCATAGTTTCTCAAAATCACATGGTAACAGTTAATGGACTTTATTATGATTAAAACTTTTATGATCTTTAATTGAGAGCCGGAAAATGACTCTGACTTTTATTATCTTAAACATTCTTAGAGAGAGAGAGTGTGTGTGTGTTTATATATATATATATATATATATATANNNNTGTTTGTCACATAAATACTTTTCGCTCCAAGAGCAACACGTATGAAATAGCACAAGTGTTGGCAATTGGTTGTATGAATGAGAAATTTGGTCCAATATCTGAAGGAAATCGAAATTCAGCAGGTAAGACAGTCGCTCAAGCGATGAGTCAGCGAAAAGTTAGCGACAATTCGGTTGCAACTTTTCATGAAAAATACTGAATTGTAAAAAACTAGCGACAATTGGGTTGCTATTTTTCATGAAAAATGTTGAATTTGGGTGTGTCCCTTCACCCACACCCTTTCAACTTTTATATATAGAACCCATTGAACGTTCATTTGAAATTCCATATTATTCATTTAATGTCATGTTGCTTCAAATACTTTGTAGAAGTGATTATATCTTGGATCCAAATCATGATTATGGTAGAGAGGGAATTCCGTTCGAGTTCATTGGTCGAAGTCATTTTGAGTGCTCATATAGCTTGATGTGATCGTTGTATTTTGGGAGATGATTGTCGAAAAATCATTAGTACCGATGCAGGACAAATTCATTTTAAGGAAAAAGTGTCAAATATTTGCCTTGGCCAATCCATCACTTGCATTTTCTTTTCCCATTTTTTGACTTCTTTTAATTATACTTTGATTTCAAAAAATGTTTAACATTATTTATATGTTCATGGTGCAAGGTTCGATCCAAAGAATGACTTACTTTCATTCAAGAATCGAAAGGGATGAATTCATATTCTTGTATTCGGATTTGGTAACTATTATTGTTTTACTCTTCAAATTCATTTCGGTAAGTTGAAATTACGTTTCAATTTCGTGAACATAAACGGTATATTTTTTGTGAATATAATATGCACAAATATCGGTGTATTCGCCAACAACAAGGACAATATTTTAACTTACTTTCTTATCAAATAATGTCCTTGTCTAATTCACATTAAAAAAAAATTGTTAAAAGACTACCGAGTACGGGAATCGAGTAGGTTCAACTCTCCAATAGAAATCTTCCATCTTCAATCCATCCACAATTACAATGAAACCAAAGCGGCAGTCCTTAAAATATTTAAGTTTATTCTTATTTTTCAAATATTGTCTTGTACTTTACAATAGTTTTACGAGATGGGTTAAATGAGTACGAGGTATACATTGTAGATTGTTCAATTCCTTGGCTGGAAATATTTGATTATTAATCCATTTACAACTACAGTGAAAAGAAAAATAACCTAGCCACATTGAAAAGAATTTGCAGGTAGTCTGCATACAAAATTGAATGACCATTTTTGCTGTACCAGTTGCCACTTTCGCAATTTAAGTTGAGCATATAACATCACTACACTCATTGAACTGTAATTTACCTAAGAACTTAGTAGAGCAGTGAGACATAAGAAATAATCTTCAGTGCATGGAATTGTAAGGCCTCCCGTGGGATGATCGTATCCAAACTCTTCTTCTGCCCAATGCAACAATTCTTGAAATAACGGATTGTTCAAGAAAGATATTGGAACGACGAAGCGCCTGTGTTCTTCGCCTACATAAACTGCAAAATGGCCTTTAGGAACATCATTGACACCAGTCGAAATGCTTCCCTTTCTAGGAGAAATCCTTCGTCCAAGTTTTTTAGCATGAGAAATCCCAATTTTTCTAATTCCCATTTTTCACAAGAGTAGAGCAAATAAAACAAGGAGATTCAATAAAAGGATTAAAAAGATTAAAACATTTGTATTGACTTGTGTTGAAGATAAGAACTTACTACTGGAGTTTATATAGAAAGAGATCTACAGTCCAATTCTTGAATTGAAATAAGAATTAGGAAAGTTGGGAAACATATCAGGTGAAGAAATTGACAAGGGATCACATGGTTTTGATTAATATGTTGCAAGAAAAGGTGCCCTACCAATTTAGGGTACCAACATTAAAGGGAAATGCAAAAGTAAAATTCATACTACTATTTCTACGTTGCTTTGTACAATCCAAAAAACACTTAAAAAACCTACAGTTTCAAATGCTGTACGTGGTCATGAGTTATTGATATAATCAAAAGATGCCTTAATCTTGCTTGATAAGCGAATATAGACAGAACCCATATGCACCTTATTTAGAGAAGCATTGAACTTGGACTTGAGTTTTTTTAGTGGTATTGGATTTGCCAGTACACCAGCTAATCTTGGTAGGTCCTTGTGTTGATAAAAAAGTGCGAAACATTAATTTGTAGCATAGTTTATTTTGCAATTATTAGTCAGGTAGCTTGATAGTCATTCTATTTTTTTTACTTCTGGGACTAAAGGCCAACTGAAATTGAGGGGTATACTGAGTATTTCAAGTTACGGATGTTCCTTTTGCGTATTCTGTCATTCTAATTCTTCCTATATATATAGCCGGTTTTGCATAGAGGTGAATGAGGCAAGCGCTTTAGATCCAGGGCCTCAGATTTTAGTTTATTTCATTTTTTTTATTTGGTAAATTAGGTTCAATAAGATTTTTTTTTTTTTCTATTAAAAAGTTGATAAATTAGGTACATTCCATTCCATTTATAAATAAGGCCCAATAATATTTTTCTTTATGGGAGTTTCATTTCTAAATTATGCCCATTTCAAATGCAACAAAGAGGGACAAGTGGCGCAGGATTTCCTAAACTCATGTTGTAGTGATTTCTTAATTGTACTCAACTTGGTCATCATATAGGTAGCATCCAATTTATTTATTTAAAATAAGAGACATGTTACTTGACTTGGCAAAAATTAATGAATATTCTTAAACAAAGAGTAAAGTTATATCCTTAGTGACATATAAACTTCAAAATTTTGAGTTCTACTTAGCATGGTAATTAATCTGCTTGAGGTTGTTACAAGCAGTCAACATTATGAGTAAAATTCTTCAAATAAAAAATATGGATATTGATGGTGCTATCGACTTCTTGTAAGGAATTTTTTTACTTCTCAAAAATTATAGAGAAATTTAATTTGCTATTATCATGGATAAATTGACAAAATGGGCAAGTAAAATGGGTATTGGAGATGTATTCCGATAAAAACATATAATTTGAATAAAGAAGCAATTTCACAAAAGTAGTAATGATGATGATGTAAATCAATTGGTTGAAGAATCTTTTAGAGTTGGACATTTCTTTTTTTATAATTCATTAAACTCTATCTTCTTTAAAATTCAATTTTAACAATTTATACAATATGAAGAAATATTTCATTTTTTATTAAATTTGGAGAGGTTAAAGCGAGCAATTTTTTCAATTTGTTATGAATTTTGAGAAGTATCTAAAATACAATTGACATTCGAATATTAATGAGATGGTTTATAATTTTGAGTTACAAGTGTTGAGATGCTATATACTAAGTGAAGAAACAAGAGCAATTGAAGTACTACAATATTTGATGACATCTCAAATGCTTATATTACTCACAAAATTTTGTTAATTATATCTTATCTTATCTCCGATCAACTATATAACAAGAAAGATTGTAGCCTCAGAAGATTAGACATAAATAAGAAGGGACCAAGATATAGGAAACAACCAAGATTTCACTCCTAAAATGCAACTTAGGGATGTGTTCTAAGTGTTATCTTTGATCTTATTTTGAATTTTCTCAAATGTGTTTTGTATTTCGTAGTCTCTTGTACTTTTAATTACTTCTCATAATGCCGTAAGTACTCTAGATTCTTGTAGGAGACATAGATATACTCTTAATTCTAGGTAATCCTTTGAACTATTCTCATAAAAAAAATTAATGCAATTGACTATGTTATTAATCAACACATAGATGTAGTATGTTAATACGTACAATTTCAACTAGTTTGATGTTCGACAAAGGTAATTAGTTAAATTAGAAGTTCTAGTCCATTTAAAAGTGGATAATACGTTATATAATTTTTTGCGAAGTAAATTGACAGTTAACTAAAATCATGAATCCCCAACAAGTTATCAATCAGAATTTTCCAAAAGTTTCATATTCACTTCCTTTAATTATCTCTAATATCCTTTCATTTAATTATTCTGATAAAAAGACCAAACCATTTTATGTGTGTGTGAATCGGCGATTTAAAGAAACTTGTTATAAATTACTTAAGCACAAGTAGAAATTCTAGTGAAATTCGACATTCCTCATCATTTTACTACTTATTCACAACACGTGCACTTGCAGTATTGAATTTATAGTGGCAAACAGGTTCTCCTCATGCACAGTTGGTTAAAAAATTGATTCAGAAGTTGGGTGGTCAGTACATGAAGACAAGTGAAAAAAAGACTTAAAAAATGAATTCAGGCCACCTATAATTTATTTATTTACTTAGCAAAAAATAAATAAATTACTTAGCAATGTATATATTTTCATAATAGGAATAAAGAAATAGAAAATTACAAGATAATTTGATTCAAGACTCAAGAGCGATAATGGAACGGTTTCTTTTTTCTCTAATCCTGAATGAATGACTAGAAATTAAGCAATGAATGACTAGAAATTAAGCCAAAAATAAATAAATAAATAAAAACGGAGGCGAAAATTTGATTAATATGTGATTACTAATTGAGGCGAAAATGTACTTACTAATTGAGAGGGGGGATGTGAGTGTACTTGTCTTCTTGGTTCATTGTGAAAAGAAGGTTTCTATTATTACAATATATTAATATTCCGGATCATTTTGCTAGCACTAACTTTGAAGTACTATATTTGCTAATAGATTACTTTATCTTTACAAATCTATGAGTTATGGAAGGAAATTTTAAGAAGATGATTAAGTATATCGAAAAATAAGCCGTAGCTAATGACCTGTAATTTTCATTGTAACATGTATTCTTTCATTTTTATTTCCCTGTCCCCACTTCTCTCCCCTGTAAATTGCTACTTTCCAAATGATGTATGTTCAGATGTAAAGTGAGTTTCTAGTTCAGAAAGATTAGTAGTGTTGAGGTTGTCTCACATCGATTGTGAAATGGGTTGGTAGTCAGTAAGGCTGGGCAAATCTCCCGAACTGAACCGAACCCAAATCAAACTGAACCGAACCCGACGGTTCTTGTCATATTTGGACCCGATGGTTCCATTTACTAGATACCCAAAAAATTTGGTTCGATTCGATTCTCTTAAGAACTGAACCAAACCGACCCACTCCCACCCCTAGTAATCAGTTTATAAATGTGTGGGAAAACTTCACCTCTAAGACTAGCTTTTGGGGTTGAGAATGTCTAATACCACCCAACACTGGTATCAGAGCTTAGATTAACAATAGGTCTCAAGCCCAACAACCACAGGATGGGGAGACGGGTTTAATAATCTCCCATAGGGCCTAACATGTAAGGGGGAGATCGTTGAGATTATTCCATACCGATTGTGAAAGGGACTGATTGTCAGTTTATAAGTGTTGGAAAATATTTAATTTAAGTTTTAAATTTTCAAATTAATAATTTGTTGTTTTTATTTTAATTTCAATTTAATACAAAATTGAAATAATAAAGTGTGACATACATATTATAATTTGGGCTAAGTTTCAACTTTCAAATTAAAATCTTTTAATTTTAGTTTTAACATAAAATTAAAGGACATTATAATTTATATTTTAATTGGGATTATTCTT